CCATTCACAAACACATTAACACCTTAGGAGAAAATAGAGAAGCCAATTAACCTAACAGTCATGTTTTTGGACTGTGGGGGGAAGTAGGAGTACCCGGAGAGAACCCACGCATGCACAGGGAGAACATGCAAAAAGACAGACGTGCAGAAAGACTCCGGGCCAAAAAAAAAAAAAGAGCTGTCATATGTAGATGCACTGTATATACTGTATATATCCCCATGCACCTTTTTCTTCCTTTGGCACATTCTACTTCTTTGACTGTTTGAGCTGATATAAAGAGTAAATTTCTCCACTGTGAGATCAATAAAATCAATCAATCAATCAAGCGTCTGTCCTGATGTGACTATGCTCCTTTCATTTAAACCATTTGGTGACTTTTTTCGTTTGCCATTAGTTGTGCGGGGATTGATTACAGGTTTTAGACTGTACACAGAGCATTAGCAAAACAATATCTAATTATTGCTTTAAACGTTACCTTGGAAACTACAGATGGCTGATAAAGTGTTGAATTATTGGCTGTTTTATGTCAAATTAATTATATTTGTTTTTCTTTAAACTGCTTTCTCTTTCATTCCTGGCTGAAGTGAATTAGCTGTGATAAAGCGAGCTGGGACACCATGTTCACAGCGACTGTCATCACAGGTCAGTAAGCTTATGACCTTGTTCACGCCTGGCTTTATCGCGCCTCAAGGGTGATTTGATCACAAGTAGACTGCCTCAGCTACAGGTGCGAACGCACACACGACACACAGAGGTCATAGTGACATCAGAGTTCCTGGTTGACATTTTGTTCCAAGCTGCAAAAAGACCAGACCACTTAACAGGGTGAACACCATCGCTAACCAGCCGAGGAAGGACAAATCTGATGAAGAAAGGAGGAGAAAGTCTTTCACCATGCTGGACATAATGTAGGATTATCATTGGTTGACAACAAATACAGATGATTGTGTCAAAAAATAATGGATCTCTGCATTTACATGCCACACCAGTTCACATTTTGTTGTGTTGCAACCACAAAGATAATACATTTTATTGGGAGTTTATGCAACACAAGGACCTCTGAGTTTGAGCATAAATGCAAAGTTAAAGGAACTGTTCCATTCATGGTTTTAATTGCATTTTTAAAATATATCTCCCTGCTAGACAGTAAGGTTCTAGAAAGTCTTCTGCTCTTCTTCACTAAATAGTTTGAATGAATGGAGAATCGGCTGCACGGTGGTGCAATTTGAGGCACTTCTGCCTTGCAGAAGTTCCTGGGTTCACTTCTTGGCATTAGGTCTTCTAGTAAGGAGTTTGCATGTTCTCTCCGTGCATGTGTTGTTTTCTCTGGGTACTCCAGCTTCCTCCCAGAGTCCAAACAAATGTCTGTTAGGTCAAACGGTTCCTTTAAACTGTGTTTACTTATGTGTGCATGGTTATGTATTATTGTGATGTGCTCCAAATAACATGATTTGTAAGTGGATACTGGAAAAATCACATTTTGTAATTAAAAAAAGGAAAAAAAATGCAATCTAAAAATGAAATTTTAGATTGCATTTTGCATTAGATTATATTTTAGGTTTTTCCTATTAAAATTGTAAACATTTTATTTTCATTTTTTTTTCTTTTTTTTTTTTTTTACAGAATATGGATTTTCAATTTTTTTTCAAATGTATTTTTTTGTGTGCAGATTTTATATTTTTCAGTTTCTGTTTTTCCGATTGAATTTCATGAATACATTCTTTTTTTTCTTCACTTTAAGCCCAATGCAAACATTCTCCCTTTGATGCATATATTGACTGATAGGATGTTGTTGTTAATTTCCAGCAGACCAATAGCAATACATTTTCACTCCTTACTCTAGAGCAGTGGTTCTCAAACTTTTTCTGTCATTCCCCACTTTGGACAAGGGGGAATTTTCAAGCCCCGCCTGTCCCCATCGCCCCAACACAATGCTAATGAAATATTCAACAATCTTAAAATGTTCCAATTTTATTGAAGTAACAAGTAGTATCTAAATACAAATCTACATCAAATAACAGCAAGCTCAAAAATAAAGAAAATAAAAATGCAGCTGTGTCAAAATTTGTATCAAGCTCAAAGATAGAAAAAATTAAAGTGCCACTCTGCAATCTGTTAATAAAAGAAAAGAAGTGAAATCCATCTGGCAAGACAGGTCTATTTATCCCTGCATTAGTGGCTGCAATGAGCCTGTTTTGCATTGCAGTTTCTCAAAACGGGGTTGCAGGCTTGATACTGCCACTCTCAAGTCATGCTCAATGTTCTGCTGAGATCTGTATTTTGTTTTCATTGAAGCAGCAGCTGAAAAGCCCATCTCACAGAGATATGATGTGGCAAAGGGAAGAAGAATGCACACAGCTCTCTGCCCGATGAGTGGATACTCGCTCTCCACTCCTAACCAGAAACATGAACATGTGGCTGTGTGAATCAAACGCCGTTATTTATTTAAGATAAAATATTTCAAATTCAGTTATTTATGATCAACCTGCGCCGTCAATCCCGGCGCATGTGCGCTTTATTTGCAGTCTGGACGCAAAAGTTAAACATGCTGTGTCTCTGCTCTGACTGCAGCGCTGATAGGGACTCCTGCAATAGCGGGGGAGAACGGGGTTGGGACGGGGGAGGCGCCCCACGGCAGCACCTGCCGCTGGAGGACAAGAAAAGGAACGATACGTGCTTTCACGTAAGAGTCTCCAAAAGGCGCTAGATTTGTTTTTTTTTGAAAAAGAGTCGCTGGAGGGGTCTGAAATATAGCGACAAAGTCGCTGAGTTGGCAACACTGGGGAGCGAAAGTTTATTCTGTTACAAATAATATGCCGACGTCACGTCAATCATTATTTTGGCACTTCAGTTCCAGGTGAAATGTTTCTCATATCTAATGTTCTTTTAATTAGACTGCATGTAGGCTAGTAATGATTACTTTGTGGGTTTGATTGGTCTAAAAAGCGGCAACATACAGCTATAAGGACAGTTTGCTCTCACACATTCTACATTTATAGTCACACACACACACACACACACCGGAACTTGGCGCGCCCCACCTGTCACGTCTCAATTCCCCACCAGTGGGTCGCGCCACACACTTTGAGAACCGCGGCTCTAGAGGGAAGCTCGCCCCAAGAGGTGTGGAGAATATGAGCCATAAAATGAAATTTTCTTTAAAAGAATTTTGCCTTTGCATCACATCTGCTGTTATCTGATTGATTCTAAACTGTTTCCATTGACTTTGTTAGTCCCTCTACCTGCTAAGTAAAGTCCAGGTTAACATTAGGTAAGGCAAGGCAAATTTATTTGTATAGCACAATTCAGTACAAAGACAATGCAAAGTGCTTTACATGATTAAAATACAGGAAGATAAAAGCAAGTAGGAAAAAATAAAAAATGCAGAAACAAAAAAGAATATTAAAAACAGTTGGAATAAAGAAAATATGGTTTAGTTGAACTGTTTAACTATAACAGTCGAAGGCAATCCTAAATAAATGTGTTTTTAGTCTTGATTTAAAGGAACTCAGGCTTTCCGCACTTTTACAGTTTTCAGGAAGTTTGTTCCAGATAAGTGGAGCATAGGAACTAAATGCTGCTTCTCCATGTTTAGCTCTGGTTCTAGATATGCAGAGCAGGCTGCAGCCAGAAGACCTGAGTGGTCTGGAGGGTTGATACACTGATAGCAAGTCTGTGATGTATTTAGGTGCTAAGCCATTCAGAGATTTATAGACTAACAGAAGTATTTTAAAGTCTATTCTCTGAGATACAGAGAGCCAATGTAAGGACTTTAGAACTGGGGTGATGTGCTCTACTTTCTTAGTCTTAGTGAGGACACGGGCAGCAGCATTCTGGTTCAGCTGCAGCTGTCTGATCCACTTTTTAGGCAGACCTGTGAAAACACCGTTGCAGTAATCAATTCGACTAAAAATAAACGCATGAATTATTTTTTCCAGATCATGCTGAGACATTAGTCCTTTAATTCTGGAAATGTTCTTCAGATGATAGAAAGCCGACCTGGTAATTGTCTTTAAATGCTTTTGGAGGTTCAAGTCTGAATCCAGTACTACACCTAGATTTCGGGCCTGATCAGTGGTTACTAGCTGAAGCGACTAAAGCTGTGTGCTAACTTTAGATTATTAGAACATTATACTAGAATAACTGAAGTGCAGGCTTACCCTATTTTTTATATAGTCTGATTGAACTGGCTATTTCTATTCGAGGGGATCAGAGTTAAGAAAACAAGGGCACCACTCATTTTTTATGTTTTTATGTATAACAAATTTAGATAAATTAAAACGTCACCCATTCCTGCTCTGGTCTACGGAAGAGGATTAGGGCCACTGAAAAAAAAAAAAAAAAAAGTAAACTGATTTTTACATTTTATTTCAGTTTAACATGGGAAAAAAGTAAGAATTCTGAGATTAAAGTCAGAATTCTGACTTTTTTCTCAGAATTCTGAGACTTTTTTCTCAGAATTCTGACATTAATCTCAGAATTCTGATTGAATTCTGACAATAAAAAAAGTCAGAATTCTGACTTTTTTCTCAGAATTCTGAGATTAAAGTCAGAATTCTGACTTTTTTCTCAGAATTCTGACTTTATTCTCAGAATTCTGACTTTTTTCCCATACTATACTGAAATAAAATTAAAAAAATCAGCTAACTTTTTTTTTTCTTTCCAGTGGCCCTAATCCTCTTCCGTACTGGTCTGTTACATGAAGTCCCAACAAAGTTTTAGTGTCAGTGGGAAAATATGCAAAAAATAATGTTCAGTGTGAAAAAATTGGGAGAATAAAAGCCAGACATTACAGGTGGCTATATATATAAAGTCTGACCCTACTTGTGCTGCTTAAAGCCATGAAAATGTGGTTGTGTTATGAATAAAAGGGTCTGCCATAGATGTGGTTAAGGCAGCTGTATCCGGCGCTGTAGAATCAAATATTTCTCTCACTGTTTTAACAAGATTAAAGTACGGATCAGTGAACCCAGAGCTGTGAGAAATGGCAAACTGAGTACCTCTGCGGCGCTGCTGAGGCCGGTGTCGGATTCGGAGGCTCGGACCTGCAGGGTGTGCAGGTTGTGACCGCTCTCGTAGTCGACAGACCTGGTGAGGCTCAGAGCGCCGCTTTCCTGGTTGATGCTGAACAGGTTTCCAGGGTTGATCAGTAGCATGTAGGACAGACTCTTCTTTTGGAAGGAGATGGCCTGAACCACAGCAACACTGACCGTAAAATAAAAGACACAAAGAAAGGTTACAAAATTTAGAAGAACAAAAAATGATAATTGTTTCTTATTTCAGGTCTCTGAAGTCCCAGCTTTTCCACTTCCAAACACAACAATCATGACAGACATGACATCAAGTTGAAAATAAAACAACATACATTTTTGACTTAGTTATTACCGGTTTTATTTTTATGAGACGAGACAAAAACTAGATGAACATTTGGATGATCATTAATTAGGCAAACAAAAATCAATAAAATTTGGAGGCATTTTGGGTGTAATGTGTCGGTTCAAATCTACAACAATGCTGCTATGCGTCCTGTGCTTATTTAGCCCCGCCCCGCCGCCACCTGAAAGCTGCCGCTGCATGATGAAAGGACCTATTGATACACATTAAATACCAATTTAATGTATCTATGTCTATGTCTATATCTAAAGAAAAATCAAATGTATTTTAGTTATGTGAGCATAATGAGAAGGACACCTCCCGCAGCAGCATATGGCACTGAGCTTGTTGCAGATATTTTTGATTTCAATCAAAAACCGCCGAAGTGGCATCACTGCGAAATTATTAAAAAATACAACATGATGACATTTGAAAATTTTATAAATTTCTCATTTTTAAAAGCTATTTTTAAATGCCTTAATGGTCTTGCCCCTGAAGTAATCTGTAAATTTGTTTTAAAGTAAGCAAATGAAGGAATCAGGACAAGAGCTGGAGCTAGTGGGAACTGCAGGATTAAAGGATGTCGGACATCTATGGTTCAGTCCGCCTTCTCAGTGAAAGCATCACATCTCTAGAGCTCTTTGCCTCTGGAGCTTAAGTCACAGACTGATATTCGACTTTTCTCTACAAGATTGAAAAAAGTCAGAATTCTGACTTTTTCTCTCAGAATTCTGACTTTAATCTCAGAATTCTGAGATTAAAGTTAGAATTCTGAGAAAAAAGTCAGAATTCAGATTTTTTCCCCCGTACTAAACTGAAATAAAATTTAAAAATCAGTAAATTTATTTTTTATTTTTTTGCTCTAATCCTCTTCCGTACCTATATAATGTAAAGATAAGGTAAAGTTTATAATGATATTCAGTTTTTCTTCATTGTCAAACATTATTCACGTTAGATATGTGCTTTACATTTGCTTTTACATATCCTGATTATATTTCTGGTTTCAATTTTTGCCGACACAAAATAAAGGCAACCAAACAAAAAAAAAAGTCACTGTGCTGAAAAATTTGCATAGGAACAGTGTATTTTAACTTGTTTGTATAAATAATCATGACTCCGTGTTTACTCATTTATTTCAGTCGTGCCTGTTGTTTAGATATCTGAGCCTGTCTGAAGCATTTTGGGGTTTTTTTAAGCGTGAAAAGCGTCCTTTAAATAAACTTGGCTTGTCTTGCCTAAAGTGTAAACATGGACATAGGTCAGAGGCAAGCAGCTCTACATCTGTGTTTCCAAACATTGAGTGAAGAGTGACACGCTGGTGCTGCTCTTAAACTCGGCCGTTTATTCTGAGCTCAAAGGTGCCATGGTTAGAGCCCGTTAATCAATCTGATTAAAAAAGGAACGCATGCATGCAGACACATGCGAGGGCATATAAAAAGCCATATAATGGTAGCAGAGACACCGAAAAAACCCATACTGAGATACACCCACACAGCGCTCAGAGGGTGGCATGGATACTTGGATATTAATACAATGTGCTTTGCGCCAGCAGCCCTGGGGGATTCAACACACTCACACACTCCCCTTCATGTTTATCCAGACCTCACTTTTAATAAATATTTGAATTTGCCACACTTTCAAATTCTCAGCCTCAGGCCACATCTGGGTCCTCTTCATCCATCCCACCTCCTTCCTTCTACTCCTCATCATCGCTCTATCTCCCATCCTCTTCTTCTTTTCTATTTTCTCCCTTCTGCCATCCTTATTCTACCTCTTCCTCTTTTCTTTTGTCTCGCTCTTCGGGGCTCATCTTCTCATGCATCACAAGAAATGCAAAGCAGAAAAACGTCCTTTTCCAACACAGCCATATTCACAAAAGCCATAAATATTTTATAATACTGGAATGTAAATGAAGGGATTGCATGTGTGGAAGGGAAAACATGAATTTCTGTAAATACCCTTTTTCACAGTACTATAAGTTAGCATTTATTTATATCATACAAGTGTGGCACTTTACATAGCCACTGCACATACAGCATGTTCCCACTGGATAACTAAAAGCTGCAGCCTATAGACTCTGAATAATAGTTTTAGCATTAATATGTCCAGCCCTGTCAGTTTATTGGCAACAAATGTGCAAGAAGCCTCAAACAATCAGACTGACTGATGATTCCTGTGGACATCAATATCTAAGAATTTCCAAAGATTCCCTATAAATGTAGATGCAGACTTTGATTAAGCCAATATAACACTAGTTATCTCCTAAACCATTACATTGTGGAAGTTTAGGGTTTGTCCTCCTTAAAGAAGAACTTCCGCATCAATCTGAAGAGCCTATAAATGTGTTTTTGTCCACGACCGTCCTAACCTGACTCCGGCAGATGGATTTGCTCCGCATATCCATCTGGAAACCTTCCGTTGAAGTAATTTTGGGAAGGGGCGAAAATACTGGTTAGCTATGTTGGTGATAGACGGGCCAAATAAACCAATCAGATCAACGAAGCATATGACGTACTAACAGAGTGACGACGAAAACACAACCACAAGCAAGGCTACTCTTGCCTAAACCAGTCGGGAGAAGAGCAAAAACATCTTTTTGTTGGGATCTGGAGGCTGTGTCCATCTTGCCCACCAGAGAGCGCAGAGGATCCCTTCCTGAGTGCTTGTACTCACCTGCAACACCTGTCTTCCATCTGCTCATCAAGAGGACTCCTACTTAAGGAGGAGGAGACTGACACTCCAGCGCCAGAGTGTTTGCCAGTAATGGTACCAGCAAAACCTGAGCCAGTCTACCAGATCTTGCCTGATTCTTGTGAACCTGTCTGACATTGTTTTCTCCCTGTCTCTCAGAACGTGACTTGCCTGGAAACCTGAAACACTGAAGAGAGAGACCTCAACCTGGAATCTGCCTGCCTGCACTCACTTTGCCTCTGCCAAGCTCTCAGTTCTCCGCCTGCCTGCACTCAGTTCAATCTCTGCTAGCCCTCAGCCCTCTGCCTGCCTACTAGCCTCTGGACTCTCAGCCCCCCCCCCCCCCCCCCCCCCCCCCTGCTGATCAGTTCCACTTCCAAGCAGGTATTCCCCCATCATCTGATAAACAGCAGTTTACCTGGAACTCCTCTAACCTCTCTGTCCTCCTGAGTGGAGATCCAGCCGTGTCCAGTCTGACCACCCAAGTTCCTGTTCACATTTTATTCACACCTTTTGTCAATAAACCTTTTGAACTTTCCTCTAAACTCCGTGTGTTTCTGCATATGGGTTAGACATCTAATCCCATCATGACACTTTTCCTCTGAGAAAAGCCTCCAGATCAGTGTTTTGCTCTTTCAGTGAAGAAATACTCTGTAATTCCGATAAAACCTGCTCGATAGCCACGCTAACGCTACTTTCATCGGCTGAAGCCACCATGTTCTTTAGACTGAACTGTCGCGCTTCTCGTTGCGTCACACCTCAACCCGCCTCAAAGCCAACGCTGATTGGATGTTCGTTTGGTGAACGGCTCTAAATTTTCTTTAACGGAGAGTCTCCAGACTGATCTGCGAGTGAAACCTTGAAAGCTCGCGAGATCAGGATGGTCTCACGAGGCTAGGTAACCACTTGGCAAAAACTTTAATTCAGGGTTGGAACGAGAGCAGGAAAGTTATTATCTTGTTTAAACATCTCTATCAAAGTTAGAAAAAATATTTTAAAAAGGTAGAGGAGCCATAAATGGTAGCGATAGAAACAAAGAAATTATCAAATGTTTCTTAAAGACAGAGATTTGGATCCTAAAAACATATTTAATCAGACAATCTCACAATCTCAGTAATATTCACTGCTATTTTTGCATATATTGTTTTATTAATATTTGAAGGACTGATCAAAACATCAGAACCTCAAACTATATAGTGAGATGAGCAAAGAGATTAAAGGACTGTTTCTGGGACTCACGGTTGGCCAACAGGGCTGTTTTCCAACACATTCAGGCTGTAGGTGGAGTTGGTGAACTGTGGTGGTCGGTATCCAGCGAGGATGGAAACTGTGGCCGGTGGGCCTTTACGGTCTCCTCCATTCACTGCCTGGACCTGCAGATGGTACTCCTTGCTCGGGGTCAGAGGCCGTCCTGTTGTTCTAATCAACCCAGAGCGACGGTCCACCTCGAAGCAGTCCTCCCCACCTTAACATGCAAGGATTAAATTAGAGACAAAGAAGGAAGAAAATGTTGTTGTAGTTTTAACCAAATAATATGGGCATAAAGCTAATTCGTGTATAATGTTTTGCTTGTAAATCAGAATGTTGCATGGTAAAATGTATGAACGGTTTTATCTTTGTGCATCTATATGTACGAGTTTATATATGTGTAAGGTACCTTTAAAAAAATAAATTACAAAACTGTATTTTTTTAAACAAGCTACAATTTTCTAAACCTGGAATTCTACACCTTAGATCCATTTACAGGAAAGCAAACATCTATATGAAAAGCTATGAGTTTAAAGTTGAATGTATGACTTTGGCCATTGATTTTTGCTCTAATCTGATTGGTTAATAGCCTCGTGAGACCATCCTGATTTCGCGAGCTTTCAAGGTTTCACTCGCTAATCAGTCTGGAGACTCTCCGTTGAAGAAAATTTGGAGCCGGTAACCAATCGAACGTCCAATCAGCTTTGGCTTTGAGGCGGGTTGAGGTGTGACGTAACGAGAAGCGCGACAGTTCAGTCTAAAGAACATGGCGGCTTCAGCCGATGAAACTAGCGTTAGCGAGCAAGTCTTATCGGAATTACAGAGTATTTCTTCACTGAGAGAAGAGCAAAACACTGCTCTGGAGGCTTTTCTCAGAGGAAAAGATGTTTTTGCTCTTCTCCCGACTGGTTTCGGCAAGAGTTTGATCTATCAATTGGCTCCTCTTCGTCGTCGCTCTGTTAGTACGTCACATGCTTCGTTGATCTGATTGGTTTATTTGGCCCGTCTATCACCAACATAGGCCAATCAGCTAACCAGTATTTTCGCCCCTTCCCAAAATTACTTCAACGGAAGGTTTCCAGATGGATATGCGGAGCAAATCCATCTGGCGGAGTCAGGTTAATTGGTTAATGTCACGACAAATAAAACGGGTTCATCTGTTTTTAAAACTGTTGGGTGATTTTCAAAAATTAACAGACTTCACGCAGAATGATAAAAATCTGGCATAGATCGGTTTTGTTTAATCTGTTTTTTCCAACCACATCTCAAGCGCGGCACATCGCACATATGAGCTGATTTCGCACTGAGCAAAGAGTCTACACTCAGAAGAGTGTGTTTGCTTTATTTAAAAACGTGCACCTCGAAACATCTTCCCTACAGTCAGTTCACTGGGATTATGATCCTACGTTTATATAATCTGTAGGACAATAAGCGTATCCAGTTATTTTTATCTTTTTTTTAGGTTAAAGTCAAAATTCTGACTTTTTCCCCATAATAACTGAAATAATTTTTTTTTTTTCCAGAGGCCCTAATCCTCTTCCATAGGTTCGCGATAGCTTGCTAACTTCACTGATTGTTTAATGATGACATTACGCTTTGCAGCCGCTGTCAATTTTCCCCAAACCACTGCATTAAAAGATGTATAATTTGCATTTTGTTGTATTTTCAACATTAACAAGTTTTCATCAATTTTCATGAAATTTGTATGGACACGCCTAAGCTAGCCAATCATTTGCAGATTTCCTGCCGTTGTTGGTAGCAGCTGAAAGTGAACATACAGAGCTGTTTTATGGAAGCAAATCGTTACCATATTTCAGCCGAAAAAGTATTTCCAGAAATGCTTTTTCATTTTAAGAATGCGGCTGCATTGTTTGACTCATAAATTAAATTAGTGATCAATAATACTGTTTGCATTTTCATTTTCTTCTTCAACACCGCTCATCCTTTTTCTTAATTACAATGAAAATATCACAGTCTTGGTTTTGTTATGTTTATTTAGAGTATTCAGTATTACTTTGCTCCTTGTTTTAGTTTTTAATTATTATTTTGTTGTTTTCTTGTTAGTTCCTGTCTTCCAGGTTTTCCATTTGTTGTCCTCTGCTGCCCTCTTGTGTCATCTATCCCTAGCTCTGTTTTCTGCTCTGTCCTCACCTGTTTCCAATTCTCTCGTTAGCCCTCTCTTTGTCTCTGTCCCCTTTAAAAGCCCTCCCTCTTCAGTTCCTGTTTGCTGGATCCTCGTCTAACGTCTGTCTGCTTACCTCGTCTCTCCCTGGCTCCTAGAGTTTGGTTTCCCCTGATGTCTCCTTGGTTCTGGTTTGTTTGTTATTCCTGCCTCGGTACCTATGGACCTCATTAAACCTACCTAAATTCACCTCTGCCTACTTGCCTCTGCTTTTGGGTCCTCAATCCAACACCAAACCGTGACAGAAAAAGACATTTGAGATTTATTTTCCAAAATGCACCCCAGCAAATACATACCAAAATTCAATTTAATATGTAAAATTTGCAAATGAAAAAGCATTTCCAGAAATGCTTTTTCATTTTAAATATGGTAACGATTTGCTTCCATAGTGTTTAGGTATTAACCTTCCATGATCTAAATAGAGTATTTTTCACAGGCATGTTTTCACAGTTTAAGTTAATGCAGAGATGAATTATGAACTATTTTTGACCACAATCCAGAAAACAAAACATTTCAGTGGAGCGATGAGAACATCCTAACTTTTCCTTGAACGAGAGAAACAAAAAAATCCTAATTCCTTTATATAAACTTGGTGGAGTGTAACCTCTTTACAGGTGCTGGTCATAAAATTAGAATATCATGAAAAAGTAGATTGATTTCAGTAATTCCATTTAAAAAGTGAAACTTGTATATTATATTCATACATTACATACAAACTCATATATTTCAGATGTTTATTTTGTTTAATTTTGATGATTACAAATGACAACAAATGAAAATCTCAAATTCATCATATCAGAAAATTAGAATATTACTGAAGACCAATAAAAACAAAGGATTTATAGAAATGTTGGCCAACTGAAAAGTATGAACATGAAAAGTATGAGCATGTACAGCACTCAGTATTTAGTTGGGCCTCCTTTGGCCTGTATTACTGCAGCAATGCGGCGTGGCATGGAGTCGATCAGTCTGTGGCACTGCTCAGGTGTTATGATAGCCCAGGTTGCTCTAATAGTGGCTTTTAGCTCTTCTGAATTGTTGGGTCTGGTGTATTGCATCTTCTTCTTCACAATACCCCATACATTTTCTATGGGGTTAAGGTCAGGAGAGTTTGCTGGCCAATTAAGAACAGGGATACCATGGTCCTTCAACCAGGTACTGGTAGCTTTGGCACTGTGTGCAGGTGCCAAGTCCTGTTGGAAAATGAAATCTGCATCTCCAAAAAGTTGGTCAGCTGCAGGAAGCATGAAGTGCTCTAAAACTTCCTGGTATGTGGCTGCGTTGACCCTGGACCTCAGAAAACACAATGGACCAACACCAGCAGATGACATGGCACCCCAAACCATCACTGACTGTGGAAACTTTACACTGGACTTCAAGCAACGTGGATGAAGTGCCTCTCTTCTTTTCCTCCAGACTCTGGGACCTTGATTTCCAAAGGAAATGCAAAATTTACTTTCATCAGAGAACATGACTTTGGACCACTCACCAGCAGTCCAGTCCTGTTTCTCTTTAGACGCTTCTGACGCTGTCTGTGGTTCAAGAGTGGCTTGACACAAGGAATGCGACAGCAGAAACCCATGTCTTTCATACGTCTGTGTGTGGTGGTTCTTGAAGCACTCACTCCAGCTGCAGTCCACTCTTTGTGAATCTCCCCCACATTTTTGAATGGGTTTTGTTTCACAATCCTCTCCAGGGTGCGGTTATCTCTCTTGCTTGTACACTTTTTTCGACCACATCTTTTCCTTCCCTTCGCCTCTCTATTAATGTGCTTGGACACTGAGCTCTGTGAACAGCCAGCCTCTTTAGCGATGACCTTTTGTGTCTTGCCCTCCTTGTGCAAGGTGTCGATGGTCGTCTTTTGGACAACTGTCAAGTCAGCAGTCTTCCCCATGATTGTGTAGCCTATAGAACTAGACTGAAAGACCATTTAAAGGCTTTTGCAGGTGGTTTGAGTTAATTAGCTGATTAGAGTGTGGCACCAGGGGCCATCAATTTTGAACCTTTTCACAATATTCTAATTTTCTGATATGATGAATTTGAGATTTTCATTTGTTGTCATTTGTAATCATCAAAATTAAACAAAATAAACATCTGAAATATATGAGTTTGTATGTAATGTATGAATATAATATACAAGTTTCACTTTTTAAATGGAATTACTGAAATCAATCTACTTTTTCATGATATTCTAATTTTATGACCAGCACCTGTACTGTACATTTATGCATTTTTTTTTATTGTTTTATGGTTGAGCAGAGATCACGGCTTGGACCCAGGAGCCAGCCACTAGATCAGCTTCTCTGATTTGTCGATGCACTGCATCAAGCTGCAAAAGTTCAGAATTTTAAAGTCCAGCATCTGATCTGAAAGATCTTCTTGGTGGAAACTGCACACTATAAGACATCGGGCCAAGATGATCCAACATGTTGGATGCTGGATTTCCCTGGAGGGAAAAGTCATTCTACCGAGCAGACCCGATCAGACACTGCAGGATTATTTCCCTGACTATCGGTCCCTAGAGCCTCCTGATGCCAGGATGCTCTCAGAAGTGAAAGATCAGGCAGAAATTGGCCCGATTATCTTTCTGTGTGAACCAGCTTTTAACTACTCCTGAGCTGCAGATTGTGGAAGAATTATTTGATAACAAGACATCATTTAGAAAAATAGGAAAGCTTATAAAACAAAATAACAAGACAATTACATGATGCATATTTCAAAATCTCTCTTCTATTATTCTATAATTGCATCAGCACTTTGGAGAAAGAGTTATCCTTTTTTTTTTTTTTTAAACCACCCACTATTCTAATGTAAAACTTGTCTTTACAGTTGGGTAACGGTTTAATAAATGCTGCTATTATTCTAACAAAGGATTCAGCCGTGATTTTTTTTTGTCCATGTAAACAACCATCGTTCAGCCGGTCCACTTGTGTATAAATAAAGAGATGGAGTCCCAGCTGTCCAATTATGAAAAGCCAATTGAGGCAAATTGATGCTGGAGGCACGCTGCCTGCGTTTTTATTTATGTGTGCTTT